CTGATACATGCACTCACCTTACTTCCAAATGCGTTCAGTTGAAGCAGGCTACGGCCCCCAGAGCCAAATACGTAGAGTGGTAGTGTGGAGATGGAGGGACACTCGGCAGCACTGGATCACTCCAAGGTTTCATTCCCGGACTGGACAGTGAGACGGAGACAAGAGGAGGAGGCGAAAACAGTGACTGCAAAGACTCCAGGCGGCTCATCTCATGCGCCCGGGGAGAACACTCACACATACATGCACACAAACACACACGCACTAAAAAAAAACCCCTCCCCTTTAGACTAGACCACGCCCATAAGTGAGGGGTTATTAATGCGGCGTTCAAGTCTCACGAGAATAAGGGCGTGTTCGCAGATTCCTTTTATCCATCCATCTTTCCATCTATTTATTTGAAAATCTGTTTTACTGGACTATTAAGCTCATTGTGGGTAACTAAACGCCGTTAGGGTATAAAAAGTGGGTCAAAAAAGTTATTAATCTACAAGATTTTAAGGATTACATGTTCAAGCTGTTATTCATTCTTGAATGAAGAATTGCTCAATAGCAAATGATTTCTTCCCTACTTTTAAACAAAGTTTTTACACGACTCGTCTGTATGGAAAACAAACCTCTATGATCAGCCTCAGAAATTTGGGAGAATCTAATTTAGGTTAGGATAAATCTCCAGGAAATGAATGTAAACATCCTCTAAGGTACAAAACAAAGGTGTGTGTGTGTGTGTGTGTGTGTGTTTTAGACGTCAGGTTAGAATTCGGTTTAGTAATAGGGTAAGAGTTAGGCATTTAGTTCTGATGGTTGAAGTTAGGGTAAGAGGCTAGAGAAAGCATCAGTTAATTGGTGTGTATGTAGAAAGTGAGGTGAAAGTGAAAGTGCAATAACATGAACTGAACACACACCTCTTCATGTTGCCCTGGGTCATATAAACATTAGACAACTTTATGCAAGATTTTTACAAGGCTCACAGAGATAAAATCACAGCAGTGTTGCCAAGATGACTGATGCAATGAGATTTGACCCCGAGTTGTGCAATACAACCCCCATACCTCACAGCTACCGCTGGTCAGAATAGAGCTTTTAATTGTAAATGTTGTCCTTAACTTTAGGTTTGGGGTGTACCACAAATATATTCTGACCACATTATGACCATTGTGGTCCTGAAAAGTGTTTTTAGGAAATGATCTGTAATATTGTTATATTAAGAAATTAACTTTTGCCTCTTGCTACAGCCAATAAACACATAGTAGTTTACTCCGTTTGTGAAAGCTTTGTTCCAACAGTGTCACTTAAGTTTTAGGATGCCTTTGCCTTCTTGGTAAACTGTTTATATAAAGGTCAAATTTAAACCTGGACAAACCAAAGTTCATTTCTAAATGTTGGATGTCATGCCGTCTGCCCTTGAATTAATCTTCCGTTGTTAAGCTGTTTAATAAAAAAAAACATATAATATTGACCCGTCAGCAAAAGCATGTAAAACCAAGGCATTAAATAAAGCTATATAAATGTTTAAACAGTATAAGTAATGTGAATAAAATAGGTCAAAGGATGAAGAGGGTATTTGCAGCACTTTGTATTCTTTTGTGTTTGTACAGAGGAGTAAGATTAAAAGGGAAATATAACCTTAAACAAGGTTATCACACGAACATTCAACAATTTACTTTGTGGGGACCAGCATTTGGTCCTCATGAGGAAGGCAAGTCCCCACATTGTTAATGTGCACCTTGTTTTGGGTCCCCACAAGTATAGAAAGACAAGGCCACACACAACTAAATGAGATCATTCAAAAGTGAGTGTGAACTTAAAACAAACTTATTCAACCTGTTTACACTACACTCTGCATTTCCATGTGATTTTGTGGGAAGGCAACTAATGTGGGAAGGCACAGAGACACAGTGACTAATGTTTCAGAAATAAGGAATGCAGGTTAGATTCGAGTTCTGTGAGAGGCATTTTGTGTGACCACAGTGATGAGTCAGGGCCATGGGCTACTGCCCGGAATAGTGGCTCATCTGTGGTGTGGCAGGGAGAGAGTTTGCAAAATATTTCTTAAGGACAGCTGGATGACCACAGACAACTGCAGTGATGGGAACAGCACAGGAACATCAGTGATGCTAGGGCAGGGTTCATACTATGATCCGTTCCATCTAATGGCTACATGCTATATGGGGGGTCGGCAAAGAAAGATATTCAAAATGTTTGTCAATTTTCACTTGATTAAAAAATTATTTATTGAATCAACAATTAGGTTGACAAAAAACTTTCCAAAAAACAATGTGCACTTAAAACTTAAGCAGTAAACAACAGCTTATAACATTTTCATGTCATCTGAGGGATAGCATTTTGTCAAAGATTTAAATCAAATCTATGACAGCGAATGTCTTTTTTTAGAATTACCAAATATGCATGGATACAATGTGCAGTAGGGTACAGAAATGAAATAACCTTGCTCTAGTTAGGAAAAAGAAAAGTTCTCACTTTTCAGGATAAAACAGAACAGTAGAAATATTTGAGTGTTGAAACTGAGCATAAATTAAAATAAATGTCTATAAAACTAGGAAGTTGACTCCCTTTACTCTCAGCAGCAAGCATTTTATTCCTGAACAGGAATGCTCTAGGTTTTTCTTCAATCCAAAGATTCAGTATGAGTATTCTACTAACTCTCTCTAACAAACACAACTACTCCACATTGTAAACTTTGTCTACAGAGGAAAGGAATGAAATGCCATAACACTTTCTTAAATCAAGGCAAAACAATAACATTCTGCTTTCTTACCACTGCTTTTTTTGTCTTATATTGCCATTACATACTGGTGATGACCTCATAAATTGTGGTATCCACCATTGATGTGCTTTAACAGTGCTTCAACAGTATTACACTGTCAAGGAAAGGAACATTTTGTCTTAATTTGTAATAAATCAAACATAAAAAGGCATTGTCAGCATCACACCTATACACATACAGGTTCCTGCGAAGTATTTACCCTGACAATGTCATAAACGGTCAGTCAAAATTTTAACAGCAGCACAAAAAGAAGGTTAGAAGCTCAAGCAGGGGCCTAATGAGTTAACAGGCACTAGTCAGTCATCATCGTCTCACTCCCCCTCAGACTCAGGAACTGTAGAAGTTGGCATAACAGACCAACTCTGGGGAAAAGTATACCCTTAAAACAAGAATTTATCAATCAATATCTAAGGGCATTTAAGAGTTCAACAATCAAATTTTGTCAAACCAGTATTAAATAATTGGAAACATAAATCAGATCCAAATTATTGCACCCATATAGAACTTTACAGAAAGCACAATATACATAACACTGACGGAGCAACTGTATAAGGCATCAGTAAGTCACTGTGGTAAAAGAAAGAAATATATATACAAGTATCAAAAAGCACTGAAATATCCTTTCATTGGCACACATTTTGTACAGCTCTGCAGCTAAAACCAGAGAATTCAAGTACAGATGGCAAGATATATTTAGAAAGAGCAATATAACAAGCTACTGTTAGGAGGTGAGAGATCTGATATTGGTGACACCAACAGATGTCAGAGATGTTTGGCTACTAACAGAGAAACATTCCTCTTGCAAGAAGAAAAGTTTAAATCATTCCCTGTTCAATAAAAATGTTTTGCTGTATAAATGAAAACAACAATTCGCCTTGCTTTATTGTTCCTTTAAAAATTGCATTACTGTAGTTTAAGCATAAGGTACCAAACTGGCAGTAAGAGATGTGAAGTTCAAATCAAACATTCGCTCAAAATGAGACTCAATCCAGTCTACTGCAAAAGCACAATGGCAAAAAACAAATATCAAAGTGGAATGTGAAAAATGATTCTGCTGTGGGTTCCCCTCTCATTACTGAGGAAGAGTTAAGGAGGTTGGCTGGCGTCTTCCTAGTCTGCCATTCACTTGGATTGTCTTTGTGGGCACAGTGACCTAGTTAAGAGAGACACAACATGGCATGTTTATATTTCTCCATTCTGGCAATGCCAGGAGCAATAGGTCATAGCATGCTGGATAAATACCAGGTTCTGTGGTTATGCGGAGTCTAACTGGATATAAAAAGAAAACACTGCCTAAAGGGAAAGGATTTTATTAATACACTTTGTATTTAACAGATCTGAAAGAGATGCAGTCAACAACACACATTTTTCTTACTTCTCTCATCCTAACCATATTCATTTTTTGCTATTTTTCCTTTCTAGTTTAAATGATGTGAAATAATAATGCCAAAATTCTTCAGGTTTTTGGCAACTTGACACAGCTGCTTACTTAAAATTGAACTATATCGTCTTGAAAATGTCCACACAGCGGCAGCAGCACAGTATGACTGTCAGATCAATGTTTGTATGTTACAATGTGCAGTTCATTTCCAGTTTCCCAGCTGCTGCACCACAGGACAGCTTTGTACTGCCAATGATGTCCTTCAACAAGGCAAGATGTGAGAAACCAGACCAAATATGTCAGAAGACAGGGGACTCTGGTTCAAATCACATTTCCCTCTTTCTGTCTCACTTCTATCTGTTCTGTCTCTGCCTATTTTCATGTCTGTCTCCATTTTGTTCCCTCCCTTTCTTCTTTGGTACGAGTTCCTTTGGGTAGCATAATGCCATCTAGTGCACTACGACTCATAAAAACAAACAAAAAGGATAAGGCAGAACAGATAAGCCAGTAGTCTCTGATGTAATTTGATCTAATGAGATGTTGTATGATGTGGGCTACTGCTTATCTTCATCACTGTGTTGTCATGAAGCAACTAGATAATTGAAAATGAAACAGTACTAATGTAGTACTAATGAAAAACAGTGTAACAACTTTTCTGGGGTGTAATTACATGCTATATTTTTCTGTATTTGTACCTTTTTTAGTCTCTCTGCAGCAGATCCAGAGCGAATGGCCTCCAGCATAGCCTCCCTGGCGAGGGCAGGGTTCATGGGGGTGTTAGCACTTGGACATACAGGGGGCGGAGGTACAAGCATGGGTGCTGATGGTGGTGGTGGGGGAGGGGGTGGTTGAGAAAAGACAGGAGGAGTGGAAGTCAAAGGGGGAGGAAGGGGAGGCTCTGCACTTCTCTCCTCTGCAGATGCTGCCTTCTTGAACCTGTCAACCTCAACAGCAGCCTCAGATTTGGTCTGAAGGACACAAAAGAGTGAGACAATGGTAAATGTAGACACATAAACATAGGCAGGAGGCAGCTGCTCACACTTATGAGGATATGAATTGACACTCATGTCCTAACACACAAGTGTATTTACACATACAGAGACATTATTTATTCTGAACTAGTGTTATGCTGTTCAAATCATTCAGCATTTTGTTATATTGTATATATTTACATTTATATTTCTAACTCTCTCTGTACGTAGTCATTTAGTTAGATTTATCCTCTTTTTTGAGAAGCATCAAGTTTTGAGTCCTGATTTAGTCATGCAGCATTCAAAAGATTCCAGTTCTAATAAGAAATCTTCAGAACAGAACTGTAGATGTTTCAGCTACACCGGCGCGGTTTCTGCCCTTTTCATTCCAAATGGGTCCTTGCATGGCACTAATCCACAGCTCAGTCTGTGATGGAAGGGATGGAAATAGACACCCATGCTTGAATAACATGGTTCATGCATGATGAGCTGCTAAATAGCTAACAACACAAACAAAGAGGTTAGCTTTGACATTTGTTGACATGTAAAAGGGAATGAAATAATAATATTTAAGGATAAACGTGGATATATTCACAGACAGTGAAAGTGGAAGTCACATTAATCATGCTGTGACTCTAGGTGTTATCTCCCTACCATGATGGAGTAATATTAAATAACTAAGAGAACATTTCACCTTCCTCAGTCTGTCAGAGTTGCTTGGGGCTCTGATGGCAGACAGAAGAGCGGACCTCTCATTCACCTCCTCAACATAAGAAGCTTTCTTTATGCTGCTGGCATCAGAGGTGGAAATCTAACAATGAAATAAGAAGTGAAAACTCAAAATCCCTCTCTTGTGCTCCTGCCAACACTATCCATGTATCGATACACTGTACTGTGTTTATCTTGATCTTACTTTCTTGAGCTTGTCCCTGACTCCACCTGTCTGTATTGCTTCCATCAGGCTGCTGTGCAGAGTTGTCTCTTTTTTGACAGATCCACAGATCACTGGTCGGAACTTTTTAACTGGTCCAAAAACCGTCACTGGCAGAGGTCCAGGAGTCACAACGCTTTCCTGCATGGTGACCAAAGGTAGTGATTTCACATCAAGTGTGAGATGGGTGGCTGTTGTGATTATGTCCCTCATGTTCTGAAGACAACATGTGGAGTATTAAGTGCACTGTAATATGCAATAACAAATCAGCTGTAAAAGTTCTTTAGTGAGTTAATTTTTTTCAAGAAACCCATAACATGCAACGTTTTTAATATTGATTTTACTTACACTTGTCTGGTCTTTGGAGATGGTCTTTGGGGCTGTTGGTGGTTTGGCAGATGAGTGCAGAGGACTACTCTGTGCAGGAGTGGAACTTCTGGGTCGAATATGGTCACTAGACTTAATGTGCTTATTCTTGGCTGCTTCAGTTTCCAGCATATTAGAGCTTCCTTTGGTGGATCCAGTGCAACTTTCAAATCCTCCTGTGTCTGATCTCACTTCTTCACCATTTCTCTGCCTATCTGACACATATTCTGGGCAGTTCACAGACCTTTCAGTGCCAGGAGGATTGGGTTTAGGAGCCGAGTCACTCTTATTATTTGACAGAGATGACTGGGAAGACTGGTGTGGATTCACTTGCAGGGTCCGGCCCAATCTCTGGAAGCCAACAGCCTGTGTTTTGACAGAGCCAGAAGAGTCAGGAACATTAGGGATGGAGCTGGGTTTAGCTGAAAGATTTGGGGTGTATTTAGTGATGGCAGATGCCACATATTGGCTTGAAGTCCGCCTGGATGGTTTAAGGAAGGGCAGGTCTTTTTTGACCTCTGGAAGGGGTGGAGGAGGAAGTGAAGGTTTATTTCTTGGCGGTTGCATGTTTTTGGACACTGAAATCTTCTCTGTCTCCACCTTCTCCTGCTTCTCTTTTGCAACTTGGAGGTCTTTCCCTGGCTTTCCAACTTCTTCTTTAACCATGTCTTTACACTGGGCTCTCTCTGTAGTTTTATAGAGTGTACTGTGTGTCATTTTCAGGTTCTCAGTGTTACTAGTAGCTGTGGTTTCTGAGACTGGAGTGGGAATACATTTTAGGCCATCTGTGTTGTCCTTAGCTTTATCGATTAGACCTTTACTGTGGAGCACAACACTTTCTTGTCTTTCATTTGAGGTCCAAAAAGCTTTGGCTTTTCCAAGAAGAGGAGACTCCTTGCTACAATTTGTCCCTTTCTCTGATGAACGATCAAATTTGTTGCAGGATATATCCACTTTCACCATGTTCCCTTGATCATCAATCTTAATGGCACCTGCACTTAATGTGACAGCTGGCTTTTCAGTTGCAGTATGTGTGACAGCGTGTTTGGGAGGAATCACAGTGAATGTTCTCATACCGAAGCGTGTGGTGACATTGTGAGTAATTTTACTGTATGAAGCATGAGAGCTGGGGTTGTTTTGGTAAACTCTATGCATCTCTTCTTCTGCAGAGACTGATTTCTGACTGGTTGGTGGAAAAACAGGTTGCTTTTCTTGAAAAGACCGAACATTATTTTTCACAGGACCAGGTTTGATGTCAGTGCTCCTGCTCTTTTTCTGCACATCCACATTAGATTTCACTGCTGATGCTGGTCTCCGTTTACCCTCTTTCACACTGTTGGCATCAGTGAAATGCATCTCTTCAATTGTTGTCTCTAATACCTCTTCTTCCTTTACATCACCTATACTCATGCTCTCCAGTGACTTCCTATGCTGCTCAGGTTGAGATGGATGCTTAGTATTTGCACTGCTGCTTTTATTATTGCCAGCAGCTGTACAAGCATTGTTGTTTTTGTTCTGTGGCTCCAAACCGGTCTGTTGACGAAAACCTGGAACAGTGATGAGACGAGGTAAAAAAAAGTCAATTTAAAAAACAGGTTTTTAACTCTACTGTATTGATACCACTGAGCCACAAAAAAGTGGACTCTGATGGCACCAGATGTCAACAAAGCACAATATTTTCAGCTTCTGTTTTATTGTTCTTCCTACCTTGGCAATCAGAGGACTCGGCCATAATAGGTGAACTTTTCTCATTTTCTAAAATGTTATGTTCATAGTCCTCCAGTACTTCATCTATAGCTGTGACTGGCACATCCATGTCCACGACAGACACCGGCACTTCATTACTATCTGTGGACATGGTATAGGGAGTCTCCTTTGCTGAGACAATATCTATGTGTTCTGGAAAAGCAGAGCAAATTATGGTGTTAGCATGGTCATTGCCTGAACATTTTGATGTACAGCTGAAGTCAGAAGTTTACATACACTTAGGTTGAAGTCATTAAAACGGATTTTGTAACCGCTTGTCATGTTAGCAAAATCTCATTTTGGCAAGTCAGTTAGGACATGTATGTTATGCATGACACAAGTAATTTTTCCAACAGTTGTTTACAGGTGGATTTCACTTATAATTCACTACATCACAATTCCAGTGGGTCAGAAGTGCCTTTAAACAGCTTGGAAAATTCCAGAACAATGATGTCATGGCTTTAGAAGCTTCTAATGGGCAAATTGACATCATTTGAGTCAATAGGAGGTGCCCCTGAAGATGTATTTTAAGGCCTACCTTCAAACTCAGTATCAGCCAAGACCTCAGGGAAAAAACAAAGAAACTGTGGACCTCCACAAGTCTGGTTCATCCTTGGGAGAAATTTCCAAATGCCTAAAGGTACTACATTCATCTGTACAAGAAATACTATGCATGTATAATCACCAATGCGACAATACAGCCATCATAGGAAGGAGATGCATTCCGTCTCCTCAAGATGAACATACTTTGGTCCAAACAAACAATCCCAGAACAACAGCAAAGGACCTCATAAAGACACTGGAGGAAACAGGTACCAGGAATTTACTGTATATCCACAGTAAAACAAGTCCTATAGCGACATAACCTGAAAGGCTGCTCAGCAAGGAAGAAGCCACTGCTCCAAGACCACCATAAAAAAGGCAGACTGTGGTTTGCCAGCTGCATATGGAGACAAAGATCTGACTTTTTGGAGAAATGTCATCTGGTCCGATGAAACAAAAATTGAACTGTTTGGCCATAATGACCATTGTTATGCCTGGAGAGAAAAAGGAGGAGGCTTGCACACTGAAGAACACCATCCCAACTGTGAAACATGGGGGTGAAAGTATCATATTGTGGGGGTGTTTTGCTGCAGGAGGGACTGGGGCAATTCACAAAATAGATGGCATCATGAGGAAGGAAGATGATGTGGATATACTGAAGCAATATATCTCAAGACATCAGCCAGGAAGTTAAAGCTTGGTCGCAAATGGGTTGTCCAAATGGACAATGACCCCAGGCAGACTTCCAGAGTTGTGGCAAAATGGCTTAAGGACAATAAAGTCAAGGTACTGGAGTGGTCATCACAAAGCCCTGACCTCAAACCAACAAAAAATTTGTGGGAAGAACTCAAAAAGCGTGTGCGAGCAAGGAGGCCTACAAACCTGGACTCAATTCCACCAGTTCTGTCAGAAGGAATGGACTAAAATTCCAGAAACTGGTTGTAAGAAGCTTGTGGAAAGCATCCTGAAACCTTTGAACCAATTTAAACAATTTAAAGGTAATGCTACCAAATATTAACCAAGTGTATGTAAACTTCTGACCCACTGGGAATATGACAAAAGTAGTATAAGCTGAGATAAATCTTTTTCTCTACTATTATTCTGACATGTCACATTCTTAAAATAAAGTTGTGACCCTAACTGACCTAAAACAGAGAATGTTTATAGGATTAAATGTGAGGAGTTGTGAAAAAACTAAGTTTAAATGTATTTGGCTAAGGTCTATGTAAATGTTGGACTTTAACTGTAGGAATGATGTGTTCCCTCACCTGCAAGGTCTGCCTCAAACTCTGCCAAAGTCTCATGGAGCTGAGCTGTGAGCTCTGGGTCATGTTCGTAGCCATCTTTTAACCCGTCTGACTTGGCCTGTGAGCTGATATCACCGTGCCTAAAGACAGTACATAAAAATGTCAATAAACACACATGCGCATGATAAAATACAGTCCCATAACATTTGCAAAAAGAGATCACTGCAACGGGGCACCTATAATACAGTACTACCTATGATTCTACCACCAAACAACTGTTATGAATCGCTTATTTAAGACTGGTGTTTTATCCAGTACCTTTTCCATTACTAATCTGCCACAGAAACCAAAAAGGTAACTACAGTTCAGTATTAGAACAAATAAAACAAATGTGTTAGCATTAGATATTTTGTGCTTGTTCAAAGTTTAAATTTATTTTTATTGGAGTCTGATGGCTTTGAAGCATGCAGAGCTTTAAGGATATTACTACCACAATTCAAACTTTCTTCATTTTCTTCATGGAATCAGCAGAGCATTCCCATGAGTTAGTGGCATATTAGTCATAACAAATTGCAACAAAAAGGCCAAACCAAATAGAAACCGTCTTCCAAAAGACTTGGGCTGTTCCTCTTTTCCTCAACAGTTCGGAGAAAACTGGGTTGTAGTGTTTTCCTAGAATACTAAGAAGCCAGCAGTATCAAGCCAGACCTCAGATTCTTAAGTTTCTCCAAGTGAGAGCATCAATCCAGGATCCCTGGTCTGGGCACATTACCATACACATTTCACAACAACTTAAAATGTTTCAGTGGTCTGGGGCGGTATTCATTTTCCAAGAAAGTCTTTGAGTTAGAGCCTAGAACCATAAGTATGAAAGTCCAGCACTAAGAGTTGAGGGTGCCAGCTTTGGCTAAAACTCAATTATAACACATGGAAAAAATGCTCAATTAAAAACCATGATGAGACTTCTAAAGTTGGCTGAAACAGTGAAAGTTCTCTCTTCAGGTAAAAATACAAAATTCCAACAGGTTATTTTAATGTAGGTTTTAGTTATCAGTGGTTAGGTTGGCCTGACATTGATCACAAAGTGAATGGTACATAGGTACATAGACTGTCTTGGTTGCCAGAAAAACAGGATCCATTAAAATGGAATTAGTAGAAACAGGTGACAGCTGTGAGAAAGATTTGAGGTAGAGGATGGGTAAGAGTTGGAAGAGAAATGAGAAAATACTGGGAAGCATGAGGTGAGACAGATGAATGAGTAGGGTAAACACTGAGTCATTCGTATTCTCTTGGAGCCAGTGCAGATGACTTTATGTGCCTCACCATCTTGAATGAGGCTTTAACCAACAAAAAGTGGATGAATAAACACAAATTATGTAAACATAGAGTATGCTTGACAACTTCATTTACTTTCCTCCTTCACATTTGTTTTCTATCCATAGCTACCCTACTCCAATGTTTCCTTTATCTCAGCTTTCTACGACTTCCTCTCTACCTGTGTCTCGATCCCCAGGTGGCACATCCCTCATCACTGTCACTGGAATTGTCCCGGACTGGTCCCAGTAGTTTCTTTCCTCTGCCTCTGCCACTTCCATCCAGAGACAAACTCCCATCTGGAGATGTGGGTTGGGTGTCAGATGGAGAGCTGATCATACCAGAGTCCTCACCCTCTGCCATGCCCTCAGAGGCAGCGTAACCCTGGTCAGGCAGGCTGCC